GAGACCAGACTATCCAGGTAGGCTGAGCTTGGCCCCCAGCCTGACCCAGCCATGCTGACGTGGGATTTCTGCAGCGCTCTCTCGGTGTTTGCATGACTAATGATAGCTTTGGACAGCGTTTATGGCTAAACTGAAGGTGAAGCAAACTTGTAAAAAACAATTCAGGGTGATTAATTGTAGCTTCAAGAAGTTACTTAGGCCAAAAAAAAAAAAAAAATCCTTGCTTGCGTTTTCCAAAACCTGTATGAAAGGCTGTAGAATATTTATGGGGGCACAGTGAAAGTGATTTTTAAGATTAACGTGCTGCTTCAGTACCTCTACTAGAACTGCTGTGCTTTAGTTCCATCTCGAGTATATGTTCTAGTTTTTCTGAGACTTAACTGGGGTCCCAAGCTGACCTGTATCATCTGTATCTTTAGGGAAGGACTGAGAATAAGGGGCCCTATCTGTATTTTCAAATACAAACTGAGCTATTACTAGACTAGTAATAAATAACCATTTCTGTGTCACAGTGGTGGGGATTGATCACAACAGATTTGTGAAGGAAAGTCATGCCCTTTGTTGGTAGCAAGGGCCCGGCGGCCGGAAGATCTCGCGTTGTACGGAAAGATAAGGAATCTCCTCCCTATAGCTTCTAACGTAAGCAGACGGAAGTTACGTTGTAAATCAAGGCTATATAACACTGTGTTGCATACTAATAAACGCCATTTTGCCATCCACCACATTGGTGTCAGTGTGCTGATGGCCCGAGTGACCCGGAGTCGGTCGCCGTATCGTTCCTTGAACCAGGTCGTTACGCCTCGATAGGCAACACCCTTCTTGCTTCTGAATATTGGTGGTTAAATGCTTCAGATGTTTGTTCACATCCAGAAGTATGTTTTGACAAAAACCCTTCAAGAAACTACTTTCCTTTCTTTTTATTTTTTTTGTATCTTGTAGTATGAAAACAAAAACTGCCAAGGGGGGTAGCAAATGGCAACTGCTTGTCTCCGAAGTCGAGCCAAGCGGTGTGTGTAGACAGTGTCAGATTCCAAAGATGGCATACAGAATATCCACGTGAAAAAGCAGTTAAAAGGTTTGTGTGGAGCAGATTTAACATTGTGCTGAAGGACGTAAGGAGGAGCTAGAAACCGGCATCATCTCCTGGGACCACCAGACAAAAAAATGACAGAAGAAAACTAGTGAAACCCTACGGAAATGAGTTTCAATTAAAAATAGACCACTCAATTAAAAGTAGACTGTGAGAGTGGGTGCTTCCGAAAACGTGCAATGGAATAACTAGTCCACTGAAAATTGGGAATTCCAGGCTTGGGCTTAAGGACTACACTAGAAATAAACTCACAGTTTAGAAAGAACTCCGTGAATGGGGGGAAAACATTGTGCGGGAGGAGGAGAGTGGGATTCTTGCCGTATTTGCCTTCCTGCAGGTGCTGGGGACCTCCTCCAGTTCCCGTGACCATTCAAAGATGCTGGCCAGCAGCCTTGGCAAGGACAAGAGCAGGTGTGTCAGCACCCTTAGAAGGAGCCCGTCTCATCCCGTGGGCTTGTCTGGGTCAAGTGCTCTCAAGCAAACAGTCCCTGACTTGATCTTCACCCGCTGGTCCTTCTCCTTGAGTTCTGCCTTACACGCAGAGGCCAGCCAGGAGTGAGAGGGAGAAGGCATCGGGTACGGCACTGACCAGATCCCGCAGCCGCTGCCCCACATTTTCCTTTTTCAGCCTTGTAGTGCTGAGACAGCAGGAGAAGCTTTTCTTGTTACCCTTGATATTATTTGTCTGTTTGTTTGCATTCCTTTCAAGTGTCAACTGCAGTTGAGCTCTGGCTTTCCTGAGGCTGAGTGGACAGTGTTCCTAAATTCCTTTTTCTGCAGGCTGCCGCTTCTTCCATCCCCTGTTTGCCCTGGAGCTCTGCCATGAGGTCCCTGCTTCGCCAGGAGGCTCTGCTGACACATCTGCTTGTTTTCCTGGGCGTCAGGAGGTTGGGAAACACAAGATGTACTCACAGAGTCAGCTTGTCTCAGGGGGTTAGGATGGAGCCTCTGGATCACTTGCTCTGCCCACCCTGCCTGCGCTGGCAGAGCTCCTTGGGTGGGAGTTTGTTGCGAGGGTGCTCGAGTTCTTGGCAGGGTCAGTGTGATTTTGTACCCCCAGCTATACAACTGGGTCGCTATCCTAAAGAAAACCCGCGCAAGGCACATCTGAGCGCTTTTAATCTCTTCTCATCCTCTGAAATTACAGAGTCACCGCTTTGAATTCTGCTTTTTCAGCACTCTGATGCCTGATATGTGGACATGGTGCTTCTTGACGCATTCGTACGTATTTAAGCTATCTGGTTATCCCTCGCAGCAGATTTTGCAAAAGAAAAAACCTAAGCCCAGCTCTCTTTTCGAGACACCACATCCCCTGAGTGATGTTTGGGAAAATCTGTTCCATCCTTCTATGTTACGTACTTGGACTTTTTTTTTTATTTAATCACAAAAACACCGTTTCCTGGATCGGGGGGAAAAAAAAATCTCGACTGAAATGCATTCACGCTGAAGAGCTCTGACATAACAGCAGCCAGGTTTAAATTTAGGATTTCTTGAGGAGGCTGGGATGGGCAGAATGTGTTAGCTGCTCTCAGAGGGGGCAGCTCGTCTGTAGTGAAGTGGAAAATAAGGACCAGCTCTAGTTGCGTTTTAGACTCGCCAGTGAAACTGGAATTGTCAGGCAGTAGCAGGAGGAGAAGAAGAAAGGAGCTGGTAACCAAAGCAGAGCGTCTCGCGGAGCTGGGAAAGGAAGCAGAGACATGGACAGAAACCCGAGTGACGCACAGAAAGCAAACGAGTGCCCTCCCTCATGAAAGGGCTTTTTATCACAGAGACAAAACTAGATTCTTTCTGCTGAAGGAGGGTAGCGCTTTGCTTAAAACTGGGCTTTATGGCCTATTCATCCAGATAAGGACCTACTTGTTTCTTTTGTTTCTTGAGTACATTTGCATTTATGTATATGCAAATTTTGAAAAAGTTTTTTTTTTTAAAAAAAGGTTTATGAATCACTTCCCACTGAAATAGTTTGAAAACTGTTACAGTGCTACCTCTTTGACGTGACAGGGTTTTAATAGGCCCTTAAGATCGTAACAAAGCAAATAACTCGTCTCCTTGCCTGGGGTAAACTGTGACATAAATCCATAACGCTGTGCAAATGCCAGTTCCTTGTATATTCTCTGGCACGCCCTAAGAGGAAGGTAGTTTGTACTGGTTAGGAGGAGAAAATACGGAATAAAATTGTGAAGCTCTCCAAGGAGTGCTCTGCCAGGGGAGCGGTGGCGCGTGCCCCTGGCAGGGGCGGCACTGCCGTGGGTCAGACATCCTGGCCCCTTCGGGGAGGAAAAGTGGTCACTGGTGGCCGAGCCTGGTGGCATTTCTTGGTTTCCTGTGTCGAGCTCCGTCCTGCCTGGCTGCCGGAGCCAATTCCCGCGGCGGGTGTGCAGAAGCATCTGGCGCAGCGCTGGGCGCTGCTGGAGCCGTTTGAAGGCTGGACCTGAGCGAACGGAGCGCAGGAGGGGAGCTGGCGGCGTTGAGGGCTGTGGCAGGCAGGGACGAGTAGCCGGGACTGTTCGTACAGGGAGCGCGTTAGGAAGTGGCCATGGCATGATCGGGCTTTAGCTGAGTTCCTGGTCTGTTCGGTTCCCACCCAAGCAGGCGAGGGCAGCGGAGGAGGCAGGAGCTGGGCTGGTGCCGCCCATCTGCCCGGGGCCTCGTCCCGCCCGCGCTCCCGCAGTTACCTGGAGCTTCCTCCCAGCCCTGGCTGCCGCGCTGGGCTGGGGATTCTTTACAGGCCGATGGAGATGAAGCGTCTGTTGCAGCCCTTCAGTTTTTCTCATGTTTCGCTAGGATAATCACCGCTTGGCTATTTTCTAATTTATTTTATTTTTTGGTAGGGCCGAGCGTATTTGGTGTCTTGGAATGTCCAAGAAGAGTAAGAAAACTTTCTTACCAGCCAGCGCTATTGCAGAGCTGCACTAGGGGATTAAAAAAGGGCTGTATTTTGGAAGAGAATCCTCTTCTGCAGCGGTCTTCTAGTGTTCTCAAGCCCAGCAACGGAGCTTAAGAACTTAAAAATATCATGTTGTTAAAGTAAAATAGCACATTCTCCTTACAGTTTTCTTCAGTAGATCCTCTGTGTTTTATTGAATGGGAGTTGCTTTACTGCACTGAGTCAGTCTTGAACGTATTTTTAGGTCTAAGAACCTCTAATTATTGGGAAATCGCAACGCAAAATGTTCTTAGTGTGTAGTGTTATAACTGATAGTAGCGTGTTTGGAGATAGAAGCAGGACAGATAAGTATCCAAATAAGTTGTCTTAAATGTTTTAAAGGTTTGTCATATTATTAGTATTATCATCCAATTATTTTTGTGTTAAGAGTAAACTTAATAGAGTAACAGTACACGAACTGTCTGCATTAAAGGGGAATTTTCACTGTTCAGTTTAATCCTGTGCTTGGGAGGCTTGCTGCTCGTTGCCTTTTTGAAGGATCGAAAACTTCTTTTTCCCCTCTTGCCTCCAGAATGAAGATGGGAGCAGCTACACAGAAATGAGCAGCCTGATGATTTCTTACCTTACAGTTCATCCGCTGACAGTTTCTCACTTTCTGCTATTTATCTCCAGGAGTTTGTACTAAGGAGCTTTGTTAAATTCTTGCTTTTGTTCCACCCACTTTAAGTTTACGAGACTGTTCAGCGTTGGTGTCTTAGCCTTGAATTTCTTCCTGTTGCTGGCTCAGCTGCGGCTGCCTGGTGCTCGCTGGCCTTGGAGACCGAGGAATCTCCAAAGAGGCGAATGAAAGAGCTTTCAGTTACCCCTGAGGATGTGTGCCAGCCTGGAGAAACTTCTTTGGCTTATTTAAGTATTTGCTGTGTGCATTACATTTATGTTGAGTTCTCTTTTTTTTTTTTTTTTCTCGTTTGCGGTGCCTTTAACTTTGACGGAAGCTTTTTTTTTTTTTGATGAGGATTAATTACAAAAATGTTCTTCCGCATAGGACACAGCTTAGGCTATGGCTTTGTGAACTACGTTACTGCAAAAGATGCTGAAAGAGCAATAAACACACTGAATGGCCTCAGACTTCAGTCAAAAACTATCAAGGTAGGCTGTCTGATTTTTTTTCTTTTTTTCTCCCCAGTCTTCTGTGAAAATGACATTCTGATAAACTTTATTCTGGTGGGAAGGCTTGTGTGCTCTCCAGGTGAAAGAAGGGTAGAATCTGGGTGGCTGGTAGTGAAGTGAGCTATTAAGCCTCTCACAGCTTTCTATTCAAAGATGCCTTTTTATTTTCCCCATTCCCATTGTTGTTACAGTGGCAGGTGGGATCATTCCATGTGGTTACCGGGCTTTGCACCTCAGATACTTGCTGATCCCTGTTTTAAATCCTGTTGCTACACAGGCACTCCTTTTCCAAACTACCAATAGTGCTGGGTGTGCAGGAGATCACACTTACTTAGGTGATATTTGTAACTTTGTCTGGTGGCAGAAATTAAGAGAGAAAACTGCACTCCAGCTGGTGAAACCGCTTTATGAAGCTTTAAAAAAATACCCTGACAGCCCAGGTTCTTGGTGTGAACTGTGGTTATTGGCAGGTCGATACCAGAGTCAGAGCTTCAGACGTGGATTCTTCACCACAGCTGAAGTGTTTGGTGTTAGTTCACTGCTGTGTCCTACTCTTTAGTTCTTTATCTGCTGGAGGAGCCCAGAATGAGTGGAGTTATTCAGGGACATGGCTTTTCTCCTTTTGCTCTGGCAATTTTCCCTGCCTTCTCCCTGTTTGGCTGCTTTGCACTCCAGGGAGAAATGCCTGTGTAGGGAGTAGATGAAAGTAACTCCTGACAAAATAAATTACTTTTTCCTACTTAAACCCTGAACATACCTTTTATTTTATTTTTTTTCCTTTTTAAAGGTTTCCTATGCTCGTCCAAGTTCTGAAGTTATCAAGGATGCTAACTTATATATTAGTGGACTACCAAGGTCAATGACACAAAAAGATGTAGAAGACATGTTTTCACGGTTTGGCCGTATTATCAACTCCCGCGTGCTCGTGGATCAAACTACAGGTGTGTTGTGTTGCCTTGGCTTCAGGAGGCTGTGGGGTGTAGCATGTTGGGTGTTTGTCTGAACTGGCAGTTCCTAAACTAAACTAGACTTTCAAAAACCAACCTTGACATCTGGTGTCAACCAATGATGTAATTTTAATGGAATGTTCTTTTGCAGTGATATTACAGTTTTATTTGTTTTTTAAAAACGGAATGCCTCCTTTGGGTAGCTTACAGTCTAAACCTCATACTGTAATTTTAGACTCTTGTTGCTGGTTTTACCAGACTGAGCCTGCTGATTTGCTGAATCTACTCTCTTGCTGTGACACTGCTGGTACTTTAGTGCAGTATCTGCACTTTTGTCCTCTAGCTGCTGAAGAAACATTAGTAAATGTAGAGAACTTGAAAGCTGTGACATAGAAATATTTAACTTTTCTGAGTTTTGCTTTCAGAGTTGAGTTTATCCTGAACTTCAATTTTTATTTTTTTTTTTAATTTTTCTTTTATTGGTTTGGTTAAAAGGTTTGTCCAGAGGGGTCGCATTTATCCGGTTTGACAAAAGGTCAGAAGCAGAAGAGGCAATTACAAATTTCAATGGTCACAAACCCCCAGGTTCCTCCGAACCCATTACAGTGAAGTTTGCAGCCAATCCTAACCAGAACAAAAATGTGGCACTGTTATCGCAGCTGTGTCATTCACCAGCTAGACGGTTTGGAGGGCCGGTGCATCACCAGGCGCAGAGATTCAGGTAGGTTAGGAGGAATTCGCGCGGGTAAGGCTCCCGTGGCCGCTTGGGAGACCGTGCTCTTGCAGCGGTGCATAACAGCCTCATCGCAGCGGGTGTGAACGAATACCTCGTGCACTCTTGTGTCCTGCGCTGTGATGTAAATAAACTGTTGAATTAAAAGACGATTCAAAAAGCTTACTTGTAAAATTTATATTGAAGTTAATGATGTCAAGGTACGTATCCTGAGGGTGCTGAGGCACTGGCACAGGTTGCCCAGGGAGGTTGGGGATGCTCCATCCCTAGAAATGTTTAAGGCCAGGCTGGATGGAGCCTTGAGCAACCTGATCTAGTGGGAGATGTCCCTGCTGTGGCAGGGGGGTTGGAACGAGGTGGTCTTTGAGGTCCCTTCCAACCCAAATCATCCTGTGATTCATTCATCCACTAAAGGGGCTGTTTCTACAACTAGGGAGATGATAAAGTAGCACATTCCAGATGAGTGTTTGTAGATGCCCGTCTCAACAGATCCCCAGTCTGTAAGTCCCTGTACCTGAATGCAGATATAATTTGGCGATGTAATTCAAGTTTTGAACCTTGGTTCCAGCAGAGGTGTCATAGGAAAACAGAAAACCTTATTTCCAGTTAAGAGATTCCGTGGGGTTTTGGCCTACACCTCAAGCTGTGCAGTGTTCTGTCTTTCTTGCAAATTTTAAGATTACTGAGTAATTGCAGCATATTCTCTGCTTGCAGAGCTGTGGAAGATGTTATGTATTTTGCCTTTGAGAGCTGCCTTAGTTGCTTGGAATACAAATTGCTTGAATTCAGGTTGTCTTAGTTGCTTAAAGGAGGGTGTCGATGGTTCCACAGTGCTCTGGAAAATGTGTTGTGTTTGCTGTCCTGCAGAGAAGCAATTGGCTTTGTTGGGAGAGGTGTTCATGAGAGTTTCCAAGAGTAGCGTTTCCCTGTTGAGAATTTACTTTTCTTTTTATCCTCTGAGGTTTCCAATGAGCTCAGTAAAGTTGGACTAAAAACTCCAACACATTTTTGCAGTGCTGCTGTTCCAGTACTGCTGTGACCCTTCCATAACGTTTCAGGTTAGTGTTTGAAGAACAGCTGGCTGTAACGTGGCTCCGGTGAGAACTCAGACCTTGCAGCGGTCTCTTGTTTCGCGCTAAGGATGCTAGAACAGAGACTGTGGAGGGTCCGTCCCTGGAGATCCTCCAGACCTGCCTGGAAGGGGCCGGAGCCGCCTGCTCGAGGTGCCCTGGCCTTGAGCTTTACTGGAGGATTTCCAGAGGTCCCTGCCAGCCTCAGGCGCTCTCCTTTCTCTTCAGGTGTAGCCCTGGGAAGCTTCATGCAGGCAGCTCCTCAGCCATGATTTCATTTCCCTGAAGCGCTCCTCCAGATCTCCACACCCAAACCTTTTAAGCCACACCAAGGAATTAAATTCTGCGTTGCACATGGTTAGGTGGACTATTCAAAAAAGCACGCATCTCTCTTTTGCATCAGTTGGGGCTTCACTGTGTCCTGGTCCCAGTAAAATCTTGAGACTTCTGTACTATGTTTTAGTTTTTAACATAGTTGGATGTTTTAATCATTACTATTCCCCTAAAACTTACAATTAAGATGCATCAGAATAAGCAGTACAAAATATTCACATCCATAATTAAGGTACCCAATAGCTTTAATTCTGTCCTATAATAATCACACGGTAACAGTAAAAGTGACGAAGGTATTTATGGTAATAGTTACAGATGAAACAAATTTAATGACCAGTTCGCTCATTGCTCTTTTATTGCCCCATTAAGAGCAGCATTGATGTTATTTGTGTGCCCTTCCCATGTTTCTCCAGGCGTGGCTTTTCGCACGTGGGCGTAAGATCAAAGGAAACGTTCTGTCTCTTTTCTGTTCCACTCCCTGCTTGTTTGAGAACGCGCTTTGGCCCCTCTGCTCTCGGTTACGGGCTGGCTGATGGGCAGAGAGCTGAAGATTTTTAGGTGCTGCAACTTGGCAGAGCTGGTAATAGAGCAGTGCTGGGGTGAGCTCTGCTGTTCCGAACACGCTGGGGATACAAGAGTGACCAGCACTGTCCATCTCTCTTTGTCCTGTCACAGACTTGCAAGAGCTTTTAACACTTCTCTAAAACTTCCTTCCCTCAGTCACGCGTGCGTGCACATACTTACACGGGTGTGCAACACGCACCGTCCCACAACCCTTCTTGCTTTTCTTTCCACCTTTGGTGTTAACTGCAAGTTTTTCCTTAAAGGATGCCAAACTTAACGAGTTCTCATTACTCGTACTGTGGCAAAGCTGAGGGACCGTAGCTTGGACCGAGCCTCGTTTGTTTTGTGTAGTAAACAAAACATGATGAAAGGATAAGCTGCTTCCAAAGAGCTCGCAGTCTCTATAAATTACAGCTGTGGTCTCTGCTGCGTAGAGGTTGAATACTTAAACTGACATTTTGATTGCACTTCATCTCATTCCATCATCTCCCTGCAAATCCAGGATTAAGCCTTTAGTATCTCTAATTTGTAATTATTAATTTTGCTCAGACCCTTTGTTTCATGTTCCGTTAATCCTTTGTAGTTCCTGCGGTATTTGTGGCTCACGTCGGGAGCTGCTCCTAATGCCCTGTCCCACCGGCGCGCTGGCTGCACTTGCTACTAACCCCGAGCCGCGGCCCAGAGGGTGCTCTGTGGCCATCCAGAAGCCAAGATGCGGCAGCGTGGGGCTGGAGGATAGCTAAAACAGCTCAGGCAGGGGTTTCTTTCGAGTGTAAGATTTGTTTACTTGAACAGAATGGGAAATCTTTCAGTGCTGATCTCTGAAATTCGGGAGTTCAGCTCCTAACGCTGGGGAAGGCCGGCCCAAGTCCCCGCAAGCCCTGCGCTCCTACAGCTCACCAGCGCTTCCCGCGGGCGGCTTCCACACGGCTGTTCTCTATCACACCTGGGAAACTGTTTCCATTTTCAACTTTGAAGATCATTTATAATTTAACCTTTCACATAGGTGCAATCCTGCCCCACTGTCGCTTTTGCAAATTTCTGATGGTTGCTTTTTAAGCGGCCAGAAATTCTAGTGAAAGGTTTCCTTTTTCTTGGGAACTTGCAAGGTGGGGTTTGCTTCGCAGCAGTGTTAGATCTGGGTGGGAGGGGTATGATGTGTGAAGGGATATTTCCCATGGGTTTTGGTTTGGGTTTGGCTTTTCTTTCCTTTTTTTGAAATGACTTGTAGGGGTGTGTTTACCCTCTGTGTGTGTTTGGAGGTTTTGGGGTTTGTCTTTTTTCTTTTATAAACCTGTAGCGTTTATGAGCCAAAGCAGGAAGAGAGGAGGATCTGTCTGAAAATTAGTGTATGCAGGGAGCAGAGGTACTTGCTATTTTGAACGGCTTTGCATGTAATATGCATTTAGATTTGTTGCTTTCCTGTGTTCAGCCCTCAGCTGCTTTTCTACAAGTGTTTCCAGTCCTTGAGGTACTGTTGATCTGGGCTTGTGGGCAGAGCCTGAGGTTTTTTAGAGAGCGGGTTCAGAACTGCACTGACTGCTGGAACCAACATCCTGCAATCCTGAGCTTAGTGATTCTCTGCTCCCCCGTACACGTGAGCAGGAATCCAAGACTGGTGATCTGTTGAGATGAAAACTTTCAGATATTAAGAGAAATACATCCTACCACGTCATTACTCAGATGGAAAAAAAGCTACGGAAGCTGGAGCTATCTGTCAGAAAAAGTAAGTGTATAAACATGCAAGTACAGGAACATTTTCCTATAAAAGCAAAATAAATAGCAGCTATGCCACCTAACGATCAGTTCCCGTGAATTGGCGCGTCTCATTCACATTCTGCTCCTCTTAACGGCTTTTTCAGTTTGACTGTAGTACAAGGCTTCCCCAAGTTGGATTTGCTCGGGGCTGGCTGAGAGTGGCAGCGGCAGTGAGTACCTGCGGCGCGAGCCCTGGTGTGCCCGCACCGCGC